GGTCATAGATTTTTCAAGCCAGAAGGGTTCACTGGTCATGTTCCTGGCTAGTGCTGGTCAGCAAACTTTACCCCATTACTTCTGCCTGGAGCCTCGTCACTCGTCTGACTACAGCTCTAGCGAGGCAGCCAGTTTCGAGGGGCTGCCTTCGTGAGATGGAGAATCCATCACTTGGGTGAGGGCACAAGCCTGGGACCTGGGTTCGAGGCCCTGGTCTGCTGTGGATTTCTGCTGTGACCTTGTAATTGTGGCTGAAATCCTGGGCCCTGTTGAAGTGGACTAGGCTGGGTGCACCATGCTCTGGCCAAGGCTCTGCCCCTTCCAGCAGGTGGAGCTGCCTTGCCCCCCAGCCTGCGGTGACTGATAGGTCCCCTGCTAGGGTGACCATATTACCCTATGCCAAATATGGGACACCAAGGTGGAGGAGCCTGCTGGTGCTTGGGCCTGGAGTCCTGAGTGCTGGCAGATCCCCCTGCATGGAGAACACAGGTAACTTGCCCACTTTTTTTAAGTCAGGGCACCAGGAGACGGGCTTAAATAAGGGACCATCCTGGTAAAAACGGGACGGATGGTCGCCCTACCTCTGCTGTAAGTGGGGCCCTACCAAACGCGGGGACCATTTTGGTCCATTTCACAGGCTGAGGGATTTCAACCGGTTTCAGGGTTTGGGATGCTCCCAGCTGCACCGTGATGGGTTTGTACCTGCAGGGTGCCTGACCCCAGAGAGGCTGTGCGAGTGTGGGGTGTGTGTGCAAAGCTGTTGTCGGAGCGGCACACTGGAAACATCAGGCCAGGAAAGGGTGAAAGCGGGTGGGGTTCAGGGGTTCGGCTTGGGTGAGTCTGCAAAACGGGGCTGGAAGAACCGGTTCTGCAGCTCTGCTTCCACTTGCGCCGGTGGGACCCTCTGAGCAGCCCACCGCCTGTATTTTGATTGTGACCGATATGAAGGGCGAGGGGGTAACTTGAGCGCCCCATCTGCACAAAGACCCCCAACCCTTACCCAGACAGATAATGGGCTACTTGCCTGCTTAATGCTTCCTTGTAGAGACAGAGCGTTTATAGGGGCATCCCCTATTCACTGAGCAGGTTATGGGGTGGGGGGGTAGGGGGCAGCCATAGGCCATTGATAGGGGCCAGCAGTCATAACTCTCCCATGGGAGCACCGAGGAAGCAGGATGGCTTGGGACTCAGAAGTGTATCTCTGAGTCACGGTGCCTGCTACAATGCAATATTCATGCTCCACCCCTGGCACAGGGGTGCCCTAAGATGTCAGCAGAAGGGGTGAGCCGGTGCAGTGCAGGCTTTGACCACTAGGGGGAGGGAGCCGGAAAGGAAAGCCAGGAGAGAGCTACAGGAGGAGTGGCAGTCAGGTGAGTTTGGTGCATGATGCTTCCATTTCAGCACTGCTGGGTTGTTTGGTAAAGTCCCATGCTGGCAGGCCCTTTGGCTTCAGGAGGTGCTGGCTGCCAGGAAAGAGAGCAGGGGACACAGCACAAGTTTAAGTCAGTGCACGCCAGCGTTAGCCACAGATTTCTGACCTTCTAAGAGGCTGCAGGTTCCGCTCTGTGTTGGGTCAGTTTGGTTTTTTAGGCGGGTGGGTGTCTGCAGTACGAAGACATCAGCCAATGGATGGTTCGCTTAGCCCCACCTTTCCAGCATGCCAGAGAGAAAGCTGCAGCTGCCGCCACCCCTCCCGGCTTTCTCCCTCCTTGCTTCCATCACAAGCTGGGCCTAAGGTAATACCATAATCACCGCCACTCTAAGCAACACACACCTGAACAGGGACGGCTTCTCGCCTGAGCGTCAAACTTCAACGATTTCTGCTGTGGACCTGTTTGCAATGGTGGCAAGAATTTTTAAAACAGGAACAATATATGTCCACCGAGCCTAACTTTTATTGAAAAATAAATAGCCTAGGAGCAGAAATCAAGACCCTCCAAACCTGCAAACATATATAGGCGTAACTTTATGCATGACATCAGCAAGTAGGCATGTATGACTTGCCAAACCGGACCAGAACCAAGCCTGGAATAGGATCGCTGACATTGGGCAGCATGAAAGGAAGGTGTAAGAACTCACAGTTGCACATGTGGGATAGATAAGCCCCTACATTCAGTCTCATTCTGATCTCTAATAGTTAGAGATTGGTTTAAACCTTGCGGCATGACTCTGGATATTCTTAGTATCTATAAGCATCCACTTCCTTTAAAATACTGGTAAATGGGTGAGGTCAATGACTTCCTGTAGCAGTGAGTTCCACCGTTTAATGCTCACACGTTTTGTGAAATGGTATGCCCTTTTGTCACTCTTGCATTTCTCTCCTTTTGATCTTGTGTCATTCAACAGGAAAAAGTGTCTCCTTTCTCTAGCCATTTTCCATTATATCCTGTCATTCATCGCCTTTTAAATGTAACATTCCTGATCTTTTCACTCTCCCTTCATAAGGAGGGTTTCCCGGCTCTTGATCATTCTGGCTGCTCTTCTGGGAAGGGTGAGACCAGCACTGCCCTAGTCCCATCTGATTCTCCGCTGCCTTGAATCTTGCAATCAATCATCCGCACCAGTGCAAAAAGCTACCAAATCACAAGGCGGGTGTTCTAATCCGCACCCGCTGTGCATTGGCCTAAGCGAGTGCTCAAAACACAGGGCTGGACGGGAGAAGCAGGTCAGGGGGAACTAGTTAATTGCCTGCATCAGTGACCTAAAGCCGTTGTAAGACTGGGAGAGGTGAGGCGAGAGACGCAGAGGTGAAAGTGAGCGCGTGTGATCCTGGTGCGCAGCTCCGGCAAAAGGCAGCAGGGAGCTAGTAAAAGAGCTGGTAGGGACCCTGGTTGCAACAGGACAGTACCGGTAAGAAATGCGAAGTTGCTTTCACCGCTGATTTCAGTACAGAAAGCAGCATCCGAGACAGCTGCTCCTTCTCACTCAGCTGGAGGGTTTCACACTCTCTGTATGGGACACAGCAGCCTGTGTGTGATCTTCCCCCTTCAAGTGGAAAAGGAGGGGGTAACTGAATGGGGGGGAGGTTAGGGGGCTGACCCCAGGTAAGCATCTTGCCACCCAATTTGAGCCTTCATCTATTTCCAAAAAAGTCTGCCTGGCCGTCAGAGGCGAGTCCTGGCACGGGTGGGGGGAGAAAGCGGCTGGGGGCGAACTCGGCTCCCCCTGCTTTGCAGAAGGCTTTTAATCAAGTGGAAAAGGAGGGGGTAACTGAATGGGGGGGAGGTTAGGGGGCTGACCCCAGGTAAGCATCTTGCCACCCAATTTGAGCCTTCATCTATTTCCAAAAAAGTCTGCCTGGCCGTCAGAGGCGAGTCCTGGCACGGGTGGGGGGAGAAAGCGGCTGGGGGCGAACTCGGCTCCCCCTGCTTTGCAGAAGGCTTTTAAAATTTTGCATTGCCCTGGAAGGTGGGGCGGGCGCCTCCCGGCCGGGCACAGATGGCAGGAGGGAATGGCCCGGCGTGTCCCGGTAAGCCACCTTGCTGCGGCTCAGAGTGCGCT